GTGACTCTCTGTTTAAACCGCTGTCTGGTCACCTGGCCTGTTTTGTTCTGCGCCTGATAAATTTCCACTGCTCCTACTTTCCCCCCTTCCTCCCGAGGGGTAAGATAAAACTGGTGTTCCAAGGATGCAGCTGCTCTCTGGCATAATATTGTGACCAAAGTACCCTTGTTTACAGCGAAGTGCCTTCTCATCGGCCTCAGTCTGGAGTGCATCTGCTGCGGGTCCTGCCAGCCATGGTGGGGCCACATACCTGTAGGCTTTCCATGGCGCGGTAATTTCATGATACAATTTCATAGTACCCACCTGAATTCACAAATGGTGCAGACAGATTCCCAGCTACCCACCCCCCTCCGTAGAGTTAGGCCTGTATTGTGAGACGCGTTTTAGAGAGGTTTGTCCAGCATCATTTCGCGAGTCTGTAGAGTCCAGGAGAGAACTCAAATGCAGAGCAAACAATTCCGAGAAAGTTCTGCTTCCCAGGGGCAGCCTCATGTGATGTACAAATGCCTGGGGGTCCCGGGGAACCCATCCACATGAAGGGGGCTATACGTACACCAGGGAACACAGCTCAGAGTTGGGCTCTGGACACTTTGCCTCGTGGTCACACCCAGTCTCCAAGCCTGTGTAATACATGGACCCAGGGCCAATTTCTGCTCTCAGTCACACTGACGTACACACAGAGTTAACCCCATTGACTTTGATGGAGTCGCACTAGAAATCTGGGTGCCTAGATGACACCTGCGTGGATGCTAGGTGTTACCATTGTCCTAGGTGGTAAAATGACCTGAGCTCTGTCTACACTAGCGTGCCTGCTGCTGGAGCTGCACCAGCGGAAGAGAGCCTAATGCAAGCCACTCCCCTCCTTGGCTTGACCCAGGACAGGGGCTGCTGTTCTCAACCTGCGTAGTCCTGGCAGAATGGCCAGTGAACGTTCTAGGAACACCGTCAAAGCAACATCAAGGCTGCCCAGCTATAGACAGAGGGTTGGGAAATGCACAAGTTCCCGGAGCCGTGTCGTGTCTGGGGTGTTTCCTACTCCTGATCTGCTAGTCCGATGGTTACTGTTATCTATTGCACACGAGGGTATCCAGGGCGGGCCCTTTAATGTCTCTCTTATAACCTTAGCTACGGACAATTCCTGATGGGCAGAGATTGTAACCGTGCACCCGTAACGGATCCTTAACCTTGTTGTTGTTAGTTTGTATTTTGGTCACGCTGAGAGGCCCCAGCTGAGATCAGGGCCCTGTTGTGCTAGGTGCTGTACATACAGGAGCTCACAGTCTAAGCACAGGGTATGGATCGTATGTCCTAGTGCAAGGCGGATGAGCAATGCAGTAATTATTGCCCTATCCCCCCCTTGCACAGCCCGTGTCAAAGCCCAGCCCAACCCCAGGAGCATGGGGGTGAGGCTCTCCTCACCCAGGAACAACCCAGGGTGGAGAGGGAGCAGGCAGCAGGAAGACGTATGGCTCCTCCTCTCCCTCTGCACCACCCAGTAGTGGAACACGCCCCGCTCCATAAAAAGATGGTGCAAATTATTCTTGGAGCAGGGAGCCCTGGGAAGACTATGGCCTCTCTGAGGCACAGCGCCTCCTGGTGTTCCTCTGGGGTGCCTTGTCTGTCTGCTAACAGCACAATCCAGCCCAGAGCACTTGTGTGCATGCAGCTCGAGGAGCCTCCTGCCAGTACCCATCAGCAAGTGCCACCAGCCACGTGCAGTAGTTTCAGTTCCCTTAACACCGCCATTGAGAGTAATGCCTTGCACATTCTGGAGCCAGCCCGCTGGGCATCCCAGATCACCTTGGTAAGGTGGCAGTGTTCTTCTTTCTGCCTTGTTACTCCTGAGGGGCGGAGCTGGGAAAACAACATGTTTCAGTGGTAGAAAAGCTCAGATCTTTTCCCATAAGCGCTCAGCTGAGTACATAAAAACGCAGGAGGGCCTTCTGCACTCTGCCTTCTGCTCAGTAATGCCTGGGGAGAGAGAAAGAGGGGGCGCTCCGTGGGGAGACACAACCACCCTGGTTCACTGGGATTGGAGCTGAGCAAAGTTCCCAGGAGACGATTGATGGGACCCGTTTCCCCATTACAAATGACCCACAAGCACACTTTGATCTCAGCTTTTCCCATGAACGGATTCCAGCCTGCAGATTGCCCCTGAACCATTCAGGTATTTGCTGTCCCCAGTTCAGCTGGCCAGACGTCAGTTCTGCCCCCACATTGTTGGCACCCAAGGCCATGCCAGCCCCTCTGCTGCGCCCGCGTTCGCACCTTTGCACAGCTATCCAGGATGTTTTCCCTTTCTGTGGGCATTCTTGCAAACCAGTTTTTCCTTGCATGACTCTTTGCAGAAAGCAAATGAAAGGGACTGCATATACCATCAGTCACTGGACTGATAATTGTCACATAGATTTGTCCAGTTGTGGTTGGATCTGTAGGAGAGGAGGGAAGATATTCTGTCAAACCAGCTGCATTAACAGTATTGCTACTCAGCTGTGCCATAGCACCTCCCAGCTGTAGGGTTTAACTCACTTGGGAGACATTCGGTAAAGCCTCACACCGTTCCTGCATAGTAGATATTCTCCCCCTTTTACAGATGGGGAAACTGAGGCACAGAGCATTGCCGGGACTTGCCCGAGGTGTCACAGCAAGGCAGTGGCAGAGCCCAGAATAGACACCAGATCTCCTGACTCGAGGCCCTACGCTTGCTGGAGACCAGTAAAAAGAGAACTGAGCTGCGTCGCTCTGCTGAAGTTGTTGCAGGGACCAAAGGGGTGGGCACGTTTTGGGGAGCCCTTTCAGTCATCAGCCTCAGCCCACAAGCACCCATTGGCATTACAGGGAATCAGAACGTTTCACCTCCTGTTATAACATGGAAGAATTAGTCAATATGATGTCTTCTTAGGAGGATGAAGTCTTTCATCCTTGTCGGGAGAGCGGAGTGGTCCAGTAGCTGGGGCATAGTGTTGTGAGTTAGCAGACCCGGGGTCTGGTCTTAGACTCTGCCAAGGACTTGCTGTGATGCTCCGTACCTCGGTTTCCCCATTTTGAAAATGTGCCTTGGTTTCCCCATCTTGAAAATGTGCCTTGGTGTCCCCATCTTGAAAACGTGCCTCAGTTTCCCGTCTTTAAAAGGGGATAATGAGCCTGACCTCCTTTGTAGTGTGCCTTGAGAGGCATGGATGGAAAGCACTATTATTCAAACGTTAATCACTATGATTATTTTATGTATACACTTAAGGAATCCTCAACCAAAATGGGCTGGAGCCGCCGTTCTGAAGATACCTGGTCTTTTCATTCCACTTGCAGAGCTCCTGTTAATGTCAGTGGGAGTTCTGTGTAGAGACCGGAGGCAGTCTTTGGCCTGTTTATATCCTGGTGCGGGTACAGAGACTTAAGGTAACTTTGGTGCTGTTCTGTTAGGCTGTGACTGCATTAGAAGCGCTTCAGCGGCACAACTGTAGCTGCACTGATGTAGCACTGCGGTGTAGGGGCTTATTTCAGTGCGAGAAGAATTGTTCTGTTAACCTCGGGGTGTCTACCCGGAGGCTTAGGAGTGTGAATTTTTCATAACCCTGAACAGCACAGCTGGGGCAACTTCACTTTCTTGTGCAGACCAGCTCTTAGATTGTTGCCTTGAGACTTGCGTGGTAACTGCCATTAAGTGAGATTATAGAGCAGCAGCGGCTACCGGGCGTTAGCATTTCAGGGCCTAATCTGAGCAGATAGGTAATTGCATAATGTACTCCAATGACAGGGCTGTGTACATGTAGCTTTAATTACTTAAAGTGGTCCTGTAATGTGCGTATTCTGCTCGGCGAGGTCTCTGGACTAATGCATTCAGCACTTTTCATCTTGCAAAGCACTTTACAGACATTAACTTAGCTTTGCAAACCCTGCTGTGAGCCAGGAAAACGTGGCTGGAAGCAGTTAGTATCAAAGCAAGGATTAGCGCTCAGGCATTGCCAGTTCCCAGCCCTACGTTCAGATCACTAGATCGGTGGGCTGCCCCCCAGCACGAAACACTAATAAAAATACTCCTTTGTCAAGCAGAAGGTTTGATCGGTGGGCTAGAGCTGCTTGTAATAAGAATTAACACCTAGCTTTTGTAAGGCACTTTCTAGCTGTAGAGCTCACTGATCCATAGATTACCGATGGGGAAACTGAGGCCCAGAGCAGGCATGTGAGTTGCTAGCAGAGCCAGGAATAGACTCCAGGTCTCCTGACTCCCACACCCTGGCCACTGGACTAGACTCCCTCCTTTAGACACATGTGTCTGGAGTGGAGGTGGGCTTGTGAGCATTTTGTAGCATGCAGAGATGGAGCAGGAGACTAGTAAGATGTGAAATACATTGCCAGTGTGGTAGGATTGTAGCCTCGAGGAAGGGGATTGGCCAACTGGGAACAGCTCCTCTTTGTACCCATTGTATTGTGCCGTGTGCCAAGTGCTTCCCTGGTGACGGCATGCACAGAGGAGAATGGCAAGTGAGGTTTCTGCCAGGGCGAGCCCGCCGGCTGGAAATCCTCGCAGGGGAGTATTGGAAACCTCGCCAGCCACGCCCTGCTTCTCTTTGGTTCTTCTGGCTGCTTGCTGAGTTGGTCAGCGCTGTGGAGAGTCAAGATTCAGCCTGGCGCCAGCCTCCAAGGGGCGCATGGCTGAGATACGAACGCAGCACCGGGTCTCTGCACCAGCTGCTGCTACTAGATGGGTGCCTCCCACAAACCACTAGTTGTCCTGTCACTGAACCGCGCAGGCTACGGAGCTGCTCAGGAAACGCACAGACCATTGGAAAGGTGGGGGAGGATACTGGCCCTCAGGAATTTCTCCCTCTCTGGATGGGCTGTTTGTAATGGCAGAGAAAGCTCAGCCCTGGGGTAAAGGAACGGGGTTGTAAAGAGAAACAGTAGCACAGCAGCAATGACCTCAGCTGGGTCAGTGGAGGGGAGGGTGGGTGTGATGATGTGCCCAGTCTACCAGTTACTCACTCTTCTTTCTTTCTTAGGTACAAGGGCTTCATCAAGGACTGCCCCAGCGGACAGCTGGACGCAGCTGGCTTTCAGAAGATCTATAAGCAGTTCTTTCCCTTTGGCGACCCAACGAAATTTGCAACCTTCGTTTTTAACGTCTTTGATGAAAACAAAGTAAGTTGGTGACTGGCAGCTGCTGAGCTCCCCTGGCCCTCAGTGCACACCCCTCTCACCCGCTGGGAGCTGTGTGGTTTAGGATACCACGAAATGTCTTATACAGTGACACCCACTCACTGTTCAGTCCTTGAATGCGAAAATCTGAACGTTCGCTTCCTGGAATAGGAAACAGGGCTGCCCCTGGGGGGGCAAGTGGGGCAATTTGCCCCAGGCCCCGGGTCCCACAGGGGCCCCCACGACAATATAGTATTCTATAGTATTGCAACTTTTTTTTATGGAAGGGGCCCCCAAAATTGCTTTGCCCCAGGCCCCCTGAATCTTCTGGGCAGCTCTGGTAGGGAATTTCAAGCGGAGAAGCTTTAGCAGCAAGTCCCTGCGCTCGCTCTACTTTGTGATTCTCAAGGGGGCAGCGGATAGTCCGCGGAATGCGAAAGAGGAAAAAGGAGACATTTGGTGTTGCTAACAGAGGCCCATCAGGCGGACCATCCCTTACCCGCTAAATCAGCCAGACGTATCCACGTCAGGAATTACCCAGAGCTGCAGGTTTTACATTGCCAGCCAGATCAGGCTTTTTACAGACAAGCTGCAGTGGAAATAAATGTTTGTAATTCCCTTCTCCTTTATCTCTCGCCTCTGTCCTGGTGGCTATGACTCTCTTCCCTGTTCAGAGGGCGAGCTCCTGTCCGTGCCTGGATCGGGTCAGACTCCGCAGTCACCTGGGCACCAGCAGTTCTGTTTGCACAGAGTTGCTGAGGAGACAACCCTGCTCTGTTGAGGCCAGTCAGCAGCAGCCTTTGCCAGGAGCCCTCCCTCCATTTTGCATGCGGAAGAGTTCTTGCTCCCATTCAGTAATTCTCCCATTTGTTTTTCTTCTGCAGAGAATTTCATGGGTGGGAGAGAGACCCTGTCATAGGCCCAAAACACCTGACTCCCCCATCCCTCAGCTGCAGTTTGTTCTGCAGGCTGCCAGGACTTGTTAAAGTTGGGGCGGGCGGGAAGAGGACTCTAACTTTGTACATGTTTACCCCACCCCCTGACATCCCTCTCCTCTGATCATGAAGAGTATGTCTCCAGTGCACCCTGAGCCCGGGTCGGCGGGACCTGGGCTTGTGGACTTGGTGTTTCCCTGCCCGCACTTGAGTGTCCCACTGCATTGTTAGCCTGGGTTTACGATTGTCAGACCCGGGTCTCACAGCCGTGGGAACGTGTCCATGTGGCACTATGCCAGCCTTCTCATGGGTCTGCGGCTTGGGCTGCATCCACACTGCAAAAGGACAGGGCTTAGACGTGAGTCACGGCAGGACACAGGCTCTGACACTCCTTCCCCCCCGCAGGGTCCTGGCCTCTTGCTGACCTGAGTCAGACTGATTGGTGTGTGGACAGAAGTGGGGCTTGGGCTCAAACCTGAGTCAGAGCCTGGCCTTAGTGCACAGTGTAGACATTCCCGAAGTTACACCGAATGTAGACTGCCTGGGCCTGTTCCCCACTGTCTTCGTTTACAGACGCGCAAAGCAGCTGTAAAACGCTCTAAGATCAGAATGGTACAAGGCAATAGCCGTTGAGACTGTTACATGCCCACTGATGGCAGCGTAACTTGCACCATGTCTCCTCCGGATTTGGCCCTGGGATTGGAACTCACAGCAGAGAAGGGATCAGTGAAACTTCGCTCAGAGAAATGGAGTTGCTCCACCAGTCGGGATACGAGGGAGCTGCTCCCCGTCCACAGAATCAGGTGCCTGACAGTGGAGTGTGGTGCCCAGCATCCTGCCCTCTCTCTTACCAGCTGATTATTCCCCAAGCACCAAGAGTAACTGGACCTGTTACTCTACTGGACCATAGCTGTGGACAGGGGTCACCTGAGCAAGATCGAGTGATGGAGCCCCACGAGCAGGAATGCAATTAACCCTGCTTGCGTCACCACCGTGAATCAGCAGCGCGGTGTCTGAATGGAACTGGCCTGTTTGGGACTCCACATGTGTTTGCATGCACAGTTCATAGGTGCGGGCACACACGTGTAGCCATACAAACCTCGGCCCATGTGCTTTTGACGTGTATATCACTCCAGATCTCTCTTTCCCTTCTCAGGATGGGAGGATCGAGTTTTCGGAATTCATCCAGGCGCTGTCGGTCACTTCCCGAGGGACCCTGGATGAGAAACTGCGGTGTAAGTCCTCAGCTCAGTTTGAAACCAGGAACTGCGTCTCTCTGTCTGTCCCCCCACTTCCGCCCTTGAGCCCAGAATGGGTCCAGAATAGCAAGAGGCAGCCATGCAGTAAGCATCTGCCCAAGCAGGGAAGAGCTCTGGAGAGGGGTCTCACTAGGTATGTCTAACCTGCAGCCGGGAGCGAGGCTCCAGCCGGCCTACAGACTGGGGCTAGGGGGGCTCCCACTCGCAAAATAGCTGCGTGGGCGTTGCTTGAACGCTGTGGCTCGGGCTGGAGTTGGGGCTCTCAAGCCCCGGCACCATTCTGCGGAGTCCGAGGTGGAACGTCACAGCAATGCCCACACGGCCCGTTTCCATGGACTAGGGCGAGCTCCGCTAACACAGAGCTGGGGGGACGCTCACGTCCAGTTGCAGTGTAGAGTCTGTTACGCCAGGGCGCTGTCTTGGGATCTCATTGCAGGCGTTCACCTCGTACAGCCCTAATTAAAACAGGGAGACACTCGCCGGGGTGCAGGAAGGGAGGCTCCCAGAGGAGAGAGCTGGGCGCTAACTTACTGTGTGTGCATTAAGGTGCTTAGGAAACCTGGCGGACTGACAGCCCTGCAGAACGGGGGCCTCTCTTTATCCACAGCACAGGTCCAGTGCAGACAGCAGCAAGGCAGGGTTCCCCCTCGCTGCCCCACTATTCTGCCCCTGCCCGCAACTTGAAGATCCTGGCCTGGGGTGTGGGGGCCAATCAGTCTCCAGGACCCATTCAGTTCTTGGCCTCTGAGCTGAGACTGGCCGGGGAGTGCCAGTGATGTCTGTGCCCTGGGAAGTGGTCCCCAGGAGATGGCTTCTTCCTGGCACAGACAGGCCACTAAGAGCCGTCAGACTCTGCTGCCGGCCCAACCTGCGTTCACACTAGGTGCTGCCTGCCCGCTGGCGCCCGGCGCTTCCTCAGTAATTCAGTGTCACTCTTGGTTTCAGGGGCGTTTAAACTGTACGACTTGGACAACGATGGTTACATCACGAGGAACGAGATGCTGGACATCGTAGACGCTATTTATCAGATGGTGGTGAGTGTCCGGGGGAGGGGGAGAGGATGCTGGGGGAGAATGCTCCGCAGTCCCACTTGCATTCAGATCCAAGCAGCAGATTCTGATGCAGTCCCCAGGAGTGCAGCAGGCCTGTCCGGGAGTCAAATTAGCATGGCTCCAACGGGCAGAGTGAGGCAGGACGTGGGTAGCCCCCGCGGCAGGTCACCCCCCCTGCTTTTGTGGATATGGTGGAGGGGGTGAGGTGGGGAAGAGCAGGACAGCCTCCTGGATAACTCCTCCCCCTAGAGGGTGCCGACGCGGGGGCTTCCGCCCCG